GTTGGAGCGCACCTGCTGGCCGCCCACAATTCGGTTGACATTCGGGGTGCCGCAGACTGAAAAGATTAATTTAAGGAAAAAAATTAAATTATTTATGCTAGCTTAAAAGTTTTAAAATTAAATTTTATATTTGATTTAATATTTGCAGGCATCTGTTTTAGTTTCACATTTTCAGCTGTTTGACAATCAAAACTCATCTCAAATGTCAAAATGTGTTAACTAGCGTAAAGTGAACTTAATTTTAAATGCAATTTTTTGGTTATGGAATCTATTTTGCTAGCTTGATTATTTCTGAGTATTGATTTATGTTTACATTTTAACGTGGATTTTAAGAAGCGATAAGAAAACAGCTTTAAAGTATAGTAAATATTGCATATTAGGTATTGATAATAAATAACTCTTTCTCATTCTCTGCTTATTATATAGTTAGCTTGGAGGTGGCTTAATTTTCTGCTAAGGTCGATATAAAGATTTTGGATTTAACCTTTAAAAAATCTTCATTGACTTCTCGACATGGTTTCTTTGTACTCACAGCAATTCTGTTTGGTGGTGCACTGATTGCGATTCTTCACTGGTCGGGCCTTCGAAGTTTTTAGGGCCTGATCTGCAGGATCGGCGCCATCGACGACATCGACGACATCGGCGAACTGCTGGGCGAGGGTCTGGTGGGGATTTTGGTACTGGTACTGGGCCAATGTAAGGCCGATGCCCAGCAGCAGGAGCGGCAGGGCCAGGTAACTGCGCATCTTGTCCGGAGTTTGCTTCTGAGGAAAGTGACAAAGTGGTTTGCCAAACGTCGGCTACTTATAGGCCCCCAAAACGATCGAGATGGAGATGGAGATGGAGGTCGCGATCAACTCGATCGCCTTTTTTAATAAAACTAAAAATATGAATGTTTTATTGTGCTTGTATAAGCATCGTGCGCTTCTTTCTTTCCTCTGATTTTCTTTCTTTCTCCGCTTTCTTTGTTTGGCAGTGCCTTATTTGCATAACACTTTATAGCGCCGCACACACGCTCACCTTGCGGTTCTCAAGCGTTGAGGGTTTTGTATTTTTGGCTCTGTACAAATCATCGTTTTCATCCAGAACAACTTGCCAAAAGAGCAAATAAACTTTTTAATATCATTTAAATTATACACTTACGGAGGGTTTTCGAACGTGTGTGGCGAAAAAAGTGGGTTATTGGGAACGATAGAATGGGGAAGTTGGAATATTTGTTAAAAGGCAAAACTGAAAATTAGCAAAATCATCCAATGACTTGTCTTCTTGTTGTGGGAGGTTTTTACAAACAATTACATATTTTGCTTCCTTTTTTTCTTTTATTATTCGGGAATTAACAAAATCTAATTGATGACTTTATTTTAAATTCTTCAAAAGTTATAAAACAGACTTTTAAATTGTATATTGCAAGCCTTTAGACATAATTAAAAATGATTTTTTGGCAAAACAAAATTTCTCTACCCAAGGGTATTTCAAATTCGCCAAACCTTCGATCGATTTTCTTTTATAGCTTTGCATATTCATGAAAGTGGAGCAAATTGAAGCGAGTTCACCACTTTTCAGCCCGCCACCCGTCGCTTTTTTTAATGGACTTTTAATGCGATTCTGGAGGGGCTTAGGCATCGTCATCGTCATCGGCATCGTCATCATCATCGACAGCGCCTCTGACCCCATGGATCTGGAGCTGGCCAAAATAAACTCGGGCACTGAGTTGGCGAATTCTGGCTGGCCCACTCGAGTGTCTCTTTCAGCGCGCCACTCGATCGCATTGCGATCTGACCGGCATTGCAGCATAAATATCCTTTAAGTGCCGGTTATCCGGTATCATCATTAACCGGAGGCAAACGCCCGCTTTCACGCTGCTGCAGTCGGGAATAATTTATAAGGCTTTACCTGTGCGATGGGGGTTTGCTTTTCGGCATAATTTACAATACAAAACGCAACCAGAGCCAGGGACAAGTTATTCCTCCAGCTCCTGCTGCCGGCTCCTCGATCATATTTCTTTGTGTGGAATGTCGTCTTCGTGGACGCCCGCCCTCCTCTTGATTCATATTCCTGAACTTGGATTGGCTTCGAAATTGATTCGCCCGGGGCCCATCCATCGTCCATCCAAACGCCCAAAAAATATAAATTAATAAAAGCAGCGCGTTGAAAAATTGCGTGCTGCATGAAATTATGCAACATGTGGCACTTACATACCCCCTTTTAAAAAATAAATTATGCAAGAACACAAACGGTTAGAGTATAATTAAGTTTGAGATTTAGGTATTGTGGCTGGTGACCCACTATGACTATGACATAAATCTGCCAAAAACCCATTAAAAATGATACATTTAGGAACTGTCCCAGAAATTTGTAAGAAACGGTCTGCTATACATATCCAAGTCGCAAAAAGCTAATAGCTTAATATTTACATTAGCAGCTTCATTTATTATGGCTTGTTTCGTTTGGCTTCCCCACAAATAAATAACTTTTACTCTTATGCAAACCTTAAGCACATGCAAATGTAGGCAGCTTTAGAAATTTGTTTCTTTTCGCAAAATTAGCATAATTTATAAAAGTCGATCTTGTAGTGCCACAAGCGTGGTCCAAACTCATTAGTTAAGGGCACAACTTAATCATAGAAAGCATCGGAGATACATATGCAAATGCAACTAACGTTGCAATTATAATTGCCAGAAAACAGAACAATGCAAAGATTGCAGAACAAAGACAAACGGATTTCAACATGGTCATTATGCTTTCAGCAGGGGAAATTCCAGAATTTTCTCCCGCCTCCCCCCGGTGGGCGTGGCTGAGTGACAAACACGCAGCAGGAATCGCTTATACACATAGATGCAGATCATTGAACCAGACTGGCGAACTGGCGAACAAACCAAAAGACCGAGGATGCCAAACTCTAACCCAAGTTAGAAAGGTTGAATGGCATGCCATTCACTTGCTTTTCGCCCGGTGGCAGTTGCCCGTCAGAGTCACTCAGTCAGTCACTCATAAATTTGCATAAGAACTGAATTGCATTGCATTATCTAAGCGACAGTTGCAGTTGCAACTAGCAACTTGCAGCTTGCAGTTGCTGCTGCAGTTGTTGCCGCACTTATCTTGGCGGTAAAAACAATCACGGCAAAGGCAAAGATTTTAATTATTGTGTGTGACGGCGACGACGACGACTCCAGCTGGGAAGAAGTCAGAGAAAGATGTCGAGTGAGAATAAGAGAGAGCCCAGAATTGATTGTACACTTTAAGAAAATACCGCCTATAGCACTACAGAAAAAACCAAAAATTTAATTTTGGAAAATAATAGAGTAGAAAAGTAGTAGTAGTATAGTATAAAAGTAGAAGTAGAAATTATTTGAAAATGAAATTGAGATGATAAGAAACTATAAGTATATTGTGTAAACATATAATGGAAACTAAAAAAAGTAATAAATCAAAAATTTCAAATCAGATTGTTAAGTATGAAATCCTCTTTTAAAGTTTTCTTTTTGCAATATAATACAACATGTAATTTATCTAAACTGTTTCTGTTAAAAAAAATACAATATATGTTTATGAATTTTGTTATTTGTTTAGCATCTTACAAAGTATTTTATAAAAACTTATAAGTATAAAATGTTTTCATAGAAACCAAAACCTTAATAATTTATCAGAGCTTCGGATTACTATTTTTATAAAGTATTTCTGAAAGCCACAAAATATTTTGTTTTGTGTACAGTCTGGCAGACATCTGTCTTTGAATTCTCAGACTGACTTGGAGTCTGCTTTGTTGGCTCGCCCGATGTACTGCATTTGATAACTGCCAGCAATGAAGTCTTAGACCCTTAGATAATGAAAAGGAAGCTAGTCTCGAGCCTGGTGCACTGTAATTCAAATTAGTAACAGGCCGGCACGAAAAAAATAGATGTGAAGTGAAAAGAAGGGGAGGGAAGGGAAGGGAGAGGCGCTCTAGAAGACTCGTCTTTGGCTACCGGAGAATCGGCCCCTGCAGTGCCAACTGGCAACATCTTCTTCCTCAATGACATTAATTCATTTCGTATGCAAAGCAATCAGTGGACTCCTCTCCTCGAGAACCCGCTCGTCGGCTTGGCAATTAGAAAAGAGTTGGAAAATTGTATGCGGCTCCAGCTCGGACTAAGACTTCGACTACGACTTCGTCTCGGAGTCTGAGTCTTAGTCTGAGTCTGGCTGGGGTCTGACTTTTCCGGCTGGCACTGCGCACTGATTTGCATTGCACGATTCTCAACTTAATTTAACATAAAGTAAACAAGCGCAGTTAACAAGCCAAATACAAGCCATGAGCGTGCGGGTGCCGGCCGCCGCAGCAGCATCCAGAATCTACCTCGGCCTCGGCTTCAGGTTTAGGTTCAGACTCCGATTCAGACTCCGATTCAGATTCTGACTGGGCAACCTCTCCATCTGCATTTCCCAATCCCTCAGCCTGCCAAGGGTCTCAGTGCCAAGCCGAGTATCCCCATCCACATATTCCCTCCGCTTCGGAAACTGCTGTCGTGTGACGTGTTGTGAAAATTCTAAAATATTTCGCCCCTGCCGGCCCAGCTTTCTCACAAGTCAACGCCAAACGCGAGACACTTTAAAAGGGCACAGTGGTCTGGGGGTCTACAAAAGGTAACGGCTTGAAAGTTATAAATATTTACATTCATTAAGTATATATGTATAAAATTATAAATAAATACCTCTTACAACATGACCTTTTAGTTTTTGGTTGAATGAATTGGCATCTGAAAAGATACTTATTTTATCCAGAAAAAAGAATTTCATGATTTTATTAAATTTTCAATAAAATTATAGCTATAATTTAGGACAACCAAATAGTTATATTCAAGAAATATTATAAATTAGGCTTACGTCTAGTTAATACTTTGATGGTAAGTGGGCAGCTTTCTTGTAGCTATAAACTATTAGATTTATAAATTCAAAAGATAAATAAACTTCTTATTACCAGTCAGACATTTAAATTACAATCAGTCTTACTAAAAAAAACATTCAAATATTGTACATCTTTATTACAAAGAGTAACATTTACAATTCGCGCAAAAACAGCAAAATTAATTTAATATTTATATCTTTTTTTTCAAGTTTTATGTTTAGACCTTACGACGGTTTCTATTTATTGTTATATCATTAATATTAACATTCTCCGGTCCAGATGGATATTGGCCAGGTTTTGAGGGTTTTCTTGTAGGAGCGGGTATCTTTGGACGGGGTTTTGGGGGAACCGGTACCGGTCCTGGTGGATATCCGCCTGGAGGAGGGGGAACTCCTAAAGGATGGTTTGGGAGATTAATGTATTTTTTCCTATAAAAATGATCTATTTTTATCGAGACTTACCAATTGGTGGATAAGGTCCATTTGGTGGATATCCGCCTGGTGGTGGGGGAACTCCTAAAGGATGGTAGGGGAGATTAATGTATTTTGTCCTATAAAAAGGATCTATTTATATGGATACTTACCAATTGGTGGATATGGTCCATTTGGTGGATATCCGCCTGGTGGTGGGGGAACTCCTAAAGGATGGTATTTGAGATTAATGTATTTTGTCCTATAGAAAGGATTTATTTATATGGATACTTACCAATTGGTGGATAAGGTCCATTTGGTGGATATCCGCCTGGCGGTGGGGGAACTCCTAAAGGATGGTATGGGAGATTAATGTATTTTGTCCTATAAAAAGGATCTATTTATATGAATACTTACCAATTGGTGGATATGGTCCATTTGGTGGATATCCGCCTGGTGGTGGGGGAACTCCTAAAGGATGGTATGGGAGATTAATGTATTTCGTCCTATAAAAAGGATCTATTTATATGAATACTTACCAATTGGTGGATATGGTCCATTTGGTGGATATCCGCCTGGTGGTGGGGGAACTCCTAAAGGATGGTTTGTCATTTTGTCCTATAAAACGGATATATCTATTAGGGTACTTACCAATTGGTGGATATGGTTTATTTGGTGGATATCCGCCTGGTGGTGGGGGAACTCCTAAAGGATGGTTTGTCATTTTGTCCTATAAAACGGATATATCTATTAGGGTACTTACCAATTGGTGGATATGGTTTATTTGGTGGATATCCGCCTGGTGGTGGGGGAACTCCTAAAGGATGGTATTTGAGATTAATGTATTTTGTCCTATAGAAAGGATTTATTTATATGAATACTTACCAATTGGTGGATATGGTCCATTTGGTGGATATCCGCCTGGTGGTGGGGGAACTCCTAAAGGATGGTTTGTCATTTTGTCCTATAAAACGGATATATCTATTAGGGTACTTACCAATTGGTGGATATGGTTTATTTGGTGGATATCCGCCTGGTGGTGGGGGAACTCCTAAAGGATGGTATTTGAGATTAATGTATTTTGTCCTATAGAAAGGATTTATTTATATGGATACTTACCAATTGGTGGATATGGTCCATTTGGTGGATATCCGCCTGGTGGTGGGGGAACTCCTAAGGGATGGTATGGGAGATTAATGTATTTTGTCCTATAAAAAGGATATATTTATATGAATACTTACCAATTGGTGGATATGGTCCATTTGGTGGATATCCGCCTGGTGGTGGGGGAACTCCTAAAGGATGGTTTGTCATTTTGTCCTATAAAACGGATATATCTATTAGGGTACTTACCAATTGGTGGATATGGTTTATTTGGTGGATATCCGCCTGGTGGTGGGGGAACTCCTAAAGGATGGTATTTGAGATTAATGTATTTTGTCCTATAGAAAGGATTTATTTATATGGATACTTACCAATTGGTGGATATGGTCCATTTGGTGGATATCCGCCTGGTGGTGGGGGAACTCCTAAAGGATGGTATGGGAGATTAATGTATTTTGTCCTATAAAAAGGATCTATTTATATGAATACTTACCAATTGGTGGATATGGTCCATTTGGTGGATATCCGCCTGGTGGTGGGGGAACTCCTAAAGGATGGTATGGGAGATTAATGTATTTTGTCCTATAAAAAGGATCTATTTATATGAATACTTACCAATTGGTGGATATGGTCCATTTGGTGGATATCCGCCTGGTGGTGGAGGAACTCCTAAAGGATGGTTTGTCATTTTGTCCTATAAAACGGATATATCTATTAGGGTACTTACCAATTGGTGGATATGGTTTATTTGGTGGATATCCGCCTGGTGGTGGGGGAACTCCTAAAGGATGGTATTTGAGATTAATGTATTTTGTCCTATAGAAAGGATTTATTTATATGGATACTTACCAATTGGTGGATATGGTCCATTTGGTGGATATCCGCCTGGTGGTGGGGGAACTCCTAAAGGATGGTATGGGAGATTAATGTATTTTGTCCTATAAAAAGGATATATTTATATGAATACTTACCAATTGGTGGATATGGTCCATTTGGTGGATATCCGCCTGGTGGTGGGGGAACTCCAAAAGGTTGGTATGGGAGATTAATGTATTTTGTCCTATAGAAAGGATTTATTTATATGGATACTTACCAATTGGATATGGATATGGTCCATTTGGTGGATATCCGCCTGGTGGTGGGGGAACTCCTAAAGGATGGTTGGGGAGATTAATGTATTTTGTCCTATAAAAAGGATCTATTTATATGGATACTTACCAATTGGATATGGATATGGTCCATTTGGTGGAGGGTTTGGATATGTTGGATATGGATTTGGCCATGGATATGGATAGGGATATAAGACAGGATTTATGTGACCTCCAATTGGAGCAGTAGTAGGTGGGCGTGTGGTTTCAAGGCGTGGACGTGGTTGTGGGCGTGGTGGTGGTTTCGGGCGTGCAAGAGTGGGGAAACTATCGGGTATATAGGCAAAATGGTCAAACGGTATTTTATTTGGCGATCGGGGTCTCAGAAGGTCCGGATTAGATCCGTTTAGTTTATTAAGCACCTTAAAAAGTACAAAAATTATTATAGGAAGTTATGTAAGCGTAACTAGCTCGTTCTTACCATTGAATCATTATTTTCAAGACAGTTCTTACGTGGCACTAGGACAAAAAATAATACTACCAAAAGACTCCATTTAGACATTTCGTCTTGTTTGTGCTAAGGGAAAGTCTACAATGAAACAGAAACCTAAAAGGTTTTACTAAGCTTTGATTTCTTAGCAAAACTAATTTTTAAAATTTCAATTGGTTATCAACGTCTAAAAAGAATGTTACGCTTTAGTTGAGATATATGTCCGATTCAGTAAGGCCATCAAATGACCTACACCCAGAAAAAAGAAGAGCGAATCATTTTAGTACGGACGTTCTTGAAAATGAACGAACGTGTACAGAATAAGTACGGGTCCTACTTGATAATAATATTTTAAAATGATTTTTTTTAATACACAGGGAAAACTATATTTTTCGCTTTAACCATGCTTATAGTGTTTGTAAATAATATTAAAAACAGTAAACTCTTCGAATTTACCCTACTTTTGACACCGTTCGTTCTTGATTTGACACCAAAATACTGGATTTTTTCTATGAGTGTATGATCACTTGAAATCACTTGCTCTAATTTAGTTAGTCCTGCAGGTTGATACACTAAAATAATTTCCAAAGGTTTTCTTTAATTTAACCAAATTCTGTTACATTTTTCAGCTAGCATTTTTATTTCTCAAGTTTTAATTAAAGCCTTCACTTTGGATCTTTTCCTATAACTATAGTAATTACATTTTGATTCTGTGCTCCAAAGCCTGGAGATGGAGCCACCGGTGCAACTGGTGGTTCAGGTAATCTGACAGGAGATCTTACTTTGTGTTTTGCATCAAGAATATTTACATTCTCCGGTGCAGATCCTCCCCAGGATGAATCAGGTGGTTTCCAACCAAGATATCCAGGATATGGGTATGGAATCGGATGAAATCCGTTTGGTGGATACTTTCCGGTGGGTGGGTAATATCCGTTGGGTGGAAAGTATGCTTGTGGTGGATAATATCCGTGAGGTGGATATTGAGGATACGGTTGCATTGGGTAGAGGTAGGGATAGTACACATACTTTAGAATGGGTGGAGCTGCAGGTTTAAATAAGGGTTTTAAATGTTTGGTTTGGGATTGGGTTGTAAGCAACCAATTTTCCAAAGAAATTTCTAGGTCAGCCGTCTTACCTCGAAAGCGCAATCCATTGTCATGCACACTCTTAGCTTTGGTGGTGCTGTTTCTTTCCAAATCGGGTACTTCTTTTGGCAACTTTGAAGCCAACTGTGTCACCCCTTTGTTTTGTATACTTATGGCTTTGGTGGTGCTGAATCTTTCCAAATTGGGTACTTCCTTTGGCTGCTTTGAAGCCAACTGAGTCAGCCATTTAGGGTAGAAAAGTTCTTTCATTAACTTGGATACATAGACTTAAGTTAATCTTACAGTAGAAGTTTTATTTTCTAGTCCTTGACTGGCTGGAACTATAAAAACTAATATAATAATATGCTTCCACTTCCACATTCCGTGCTATCATTTCTTTTGCTAAAACTGAAATGACCCCAGAAAGTAAAACTTATTAGAATCTATGAAATAATTGATTTTCCACCGATTTACTAGCAGAACGAATATACTTGTAATTTGTATATAAATGTAAACATTAAACTTAGTGCATGAAATCTAAAATGCTTGAGAATATATTTTGAGAGAGTGAGAAATTTCAACATTAAACTTAGTGCATGATATCTAAAATGCTTGAGAATATATTTTGAGAGAGTGAGAAACTTAAAGCTGCAATGACTTCATTTTAATCAGTGGTCCTCTTTGAAACATTATTTGATAATAAGAGTTTGGTAAAACAAAAATATTTCTTATCTTTTGTGTGAATATTATTATTCGTATACTGCTTGTGGAAACTGTAACCACTGTGCAGCATCGTGAAGAGTTTATTAAAAGCCACGACAACAACGGCCGTCCCTACACAAAATCCTTTGTAAGGTAATTGCTCATTTGAGTTATAAACACGCACACAGGCGCTGTTGGGCACCACATAGCCACCGGAATCCCCCGATCCCCAATCCCCGATACCCAATCCTCGGATCCCCAATCCCCGCGAGATGGCAATCGGGGCTGCCCAGAAAGGGCTGTGCCCGTGGATTGTGGATTGTGGCCAACGTCCCCGCTTTGCATGTCTAACAATTGTTCTTCTAATTGCGTTTATGGCCAGGCGAGAGAACTGGCCGGACGCAGTGCACCCGAGGCCCCCAAAAACCCCTTCCTGTTGCCTTGTAAACGCAATCGGACAAGATAATCTCGGCATCGCAGCGTGCGCAATGATTTGCCGGGTGCGGAGACCCAAAAAGGGCTTACCCCATGGCCTGGATGTGGTCTGCAGTATGGAGTCCTAGTCCTCCTCTCCAAACTCCCACCGCTTCTATGCGGCATGGCATGCGGCTTGCATTTGGGTGCAACAAATTGCCGCAACGCATCTGCCAGACACTGAATTGAGTTGAGTCCTTCAAATTGGCACTGGCACTGGCGTTGGGGGAGAAATGCATTACATATCGCATTTATGGGGCTGCTTATTAAGTGGTGCAACAAATTGACAGCTCCAAAGAGCCTCCAGAGCAGTATCTACATCAATTACCCACAGCGATTCGCAGAATAAACCGCATGGCGATAGCCGACCAACACTTCATTAAAAGTAAATAAGGTGTCCATGAGATATTGTGATAAGTTGGCGGACGAGGGTGTTGTTCTGCCCATAGACAAACTGATCAAAGTTCGAGGCACACCGGATAGGCCCTTGAGTTCTGATCTTCAATTGTACTTAATGACTGCAAATACTTTGAACCTTGAAGGCTGACAACTTATCGGGATTGCTTCGGCTGGGTTTTTGAGAAATTTGAGCTTAAATCGGCCAAAAAGGGTATTTAGTTTACAGAACGATAATTATAATCTGTTCAAAAGTTCGAACTTATATTCTTTTGATAGAATTATGCTGATACCTATGAAATAGGAAATATCTTTGAAAGTTCAAATTCAAAACAAAAATTGTTTGCTAAATTAGATTAGATTTTCTCCATAAAAAATATATATATTTTATATATATATTTTATTTTATTTTATTGTATTACTGAGATATTAAGAATTTTTTTATAAACTTATATATAATATTTGAAATATTTATACAACTAAAATATTTGTCTATTTGGGTATTTGATATTTTTGTATTAAAATATTATGTAATAAGCAGAGGCTTAGTTTTAAAGAAGTGAAACTATAAATGTATCTTATGCTTTCTAGAAATTGTTCTTTAAAATTGTCTGAAGATCCAAATGCCCTGATATGTAGAAGAAGCGCAATACCATCTCATGCTCACCTATGAAAGCCCTCGACAGTTCCTAAGCCCCAGGTAAAGGCAGCAAATAGTTCGTGCAATTGCCAGTTATGGCCGAGAGTGCAAAAAAAAGACGCGCGTCAAATGCTGCAATAAAAAAAAGACAAGGCGAATAGCCTCCAGATGTGGACCGCAGGTTACAATAACAATCTGACTGTGTGTGTGTGTGTGGAAAATTGAAGCCCAGCTCTAATGATAACTGCTGGAACTTTAAAGGCGCGAGATTGCGGAAATTTCGCGACTGCCAGCGGATGGCCTGGCGGTTCTAGAGCTTCGCCACTGCAAAGGCAACGGCAACGACAACGACAACGACGACAAGTGTCAAGTGAAGCTTAGATAAATTTCAAAAGGGCAACAACATGGAACGGTCCGTGAGGAGGAAGCTGGCGACGATTACTTGCCAGCTGGCAAACAAGAGATACACTTTAAAAATAAAAAATATAAAACATACCTTTATGGCAAATTACCAATAAATTGACAGACAAAGGTACCCATTTTGGTAATCCCATTTTGAACTACGAAACTATTTTCAAAATTCGTTAAGCTTTTTTTTTATTTGTAAAGACTAAATTATTAGTCTGTGACTTGAAAAATGTTTTTAAAACTTAAAAAAATTGAGTGTTGATTATAAGCTGGTTAAAGATAAGGAATATGAAGGAAAGCAGTCAGATATTTTTTGGATTACATTTTTTGGTTGAGTGTTAAGTTGAAGTGTCTTGGAATGAAATGAAATCAAATGAAATGGCCGGAGACGAAGGCCAGGCCTCACCTTGCCGCACAAGTAGCCAGCAGGCAGAAGTGCATCCTCTGGGCCTCATCCTCAGCCTCATCCTCATCCGCATACACACACCCATCCACATCCCCATCATCCTCCTCCAAATCGACTGAGTGGCATGCCATGACTGCCTCCGCTTCCCTCTTGTTCTGCTCGTATTTGAACTTCCAGACACGCTTTTGGCCCTTAACATTTTTGACCGTCATTTTGCCGATATAAATTCTTTAGCATCTCTTCGACTGCTGCTGCTGCTGCTGCTGTTTATGTTTATGTTTATGTGTTTTTCTTTCTTTCTGGCGGAGAGGGAAACCGCCTCGGGTTGCACTTTCTTCGTCGTGCCAGCAAAAGTGTAGATCAGCGCGAAATCTAATTTATGCAATGTACAAGAACATACAACATGTTGCACGATGATGAAAATGCGGCAGCCAGCCAGCAATATTTTTTATTAAAACACAAAAAGAGCAAAAAAAAGGAAGAAAAGAAGCGACAGAAAAGAAGCAAGAGTGCAGCGGCAAGACAATCGAGCAACGACAACAACGACGCATGTTTTATGACTCTCATTGTCATTTATGCAAATTAGGAAACGGCAATGGCTCAGGAGGAGCTTGTGCTGCTGCTGCTGCTTCTGCTGCAGGAGCAACAAAAGCCAAAGATCCGAAGATCGGAAGATCGGAAGATCCATGGCCACTTCTAAGCAGCGGCGCAAATTTCCCACCAAAACCGGGCTGCCTGCCTCGTGGCCTGAACTTTTTGTGTCATGGCCTAGGATCCCCCCAGCCCCAACCCAAAAGACTCCGCTTCGATGATTATGAGCAACATGTTTTATGATATCTGGCGGTGATTTATTATCATTTGATTTAAAAAGCAGTGGACAGGACACACATCAATACCTGTGCTTGGTCATAGTCTGGCGGAGACAAGGCGTTATTTATAGTTTTGGCCGATACCGGGATCGGGACCTTCCCTGGCCACCGATGAGGATGCAACCTGGAGCCTGTAGCCTGGAACCTAGAACCTGGAATCACCATCCTGGCTGCATTTCATGCTTATTATAGAAATGTGCGCTTTTATGAGCGCGCCCAGCATGTTAAAGGTGGAGAGAGCCTTTTGGCGATTTTAATTAGCCAACCCAGCCGACTGATCTTATTCAGCCATGAGAACCACTGGGCAGCTAATTAGCTCCATGCTGCGATCGCATTTGGAACAGTTACAGTTGGATAGTGGGTTCGTCTAATTAGCTCTTGGGGAGTTCGGGTTCAGTAGATAGCAGCTTGTAAGTCCAGTCTAGACGGAAAGTCATTATAGCAATAAGTAAGAAAGTTTTGCCATATAACAGAATTGAGTTTTGTGGCTTTATTGGGCTTACAAGTATAAACATTTTTAAAACAGGTATTAAATGGTTGTCATATAGTATTGTTTTTGCAAATTATTCAGAAATTCAGAAATGTAAAAAAAAAACCAGGCATACTTTCAGGATTAAGGGGAATTAGGTGCTCTTCTTTGGAAATGTGAATATTATGACTTTAAGGAAGCATTATTAAAATATTTAAGCTAATTGAGTTCATTACAAGCTTGTTAAAGTAAATGCATTTACATTTAATAGACTCTAACGATGGCTCCCTGGCCAGGTTTACGATGTCCATTAGACACCTGAAGGCACATATGCTTAATGTTAGCTTAAAGTCGAAATCGTGTAGAAGAGACTATTCAAATGAGAGTTTTCAAATCAGCGAAACAACTAAATCAACTGCAATCTGCATACTCTTCTGCTTTTTTATGCCCTTCGTGCTGGCAGACGTCCGTTTTTACGACCTTTTCGGGGCCCGTCGACCCTTTGTTTTCGCATTTTAATGCGAACATAAAAGCTAATACCTGGGAGGCTAGCACTCATTAGGCCGTTGATTAGCCGGCCCAACTTGGCTCAGGAGCAGCTGGAGACTTGGTCCCCTATCGGTCCACTTGTCCGAGAATGTCTCTATGGCGCTGGTCAAAGTAATGATTTGAAAATCTCATTGGATTTCAGTTCCGTTTGCATAAATAACCGCTAGCCAATTGCACGTATTTCACAATCAGCAATCAGTGACGAGATCAATGAAATCGCCTACGTGCCAGGTTATCTGGCATCATCCCATGATGTTGATGTGCTCATCTTTTTGGCGTTGATACACGCCACTATAAATAGATTCCCTTGATGCGGCGTTTGCTTAATTTGCTTTAATAATTTATTACCTACCTTCACATACAATCTTTAACGATGCACTTGCCACAAGTGGGTTGGGTGAGAAGACTTGAGACTATGATACGCCAATCTATTACTTACTGAGAACAAATCATACTTAATATTTGTCATCAATAAATAGTTGTTGT